TTGGAGAAGCTTTGAGAAAGTTAACAGAAAGATAATGGAGAAAGGGACGGAAGTGATGGACAGTAACAGCCTAACAAATGAAAGTTACAAAAAATGACTATTTTCTTCTATTCTTATAGGTTAGGGGCTAAAACCGTTATGTTATAAGGTGAGAAACCAAAACCGTTATGTTATAAGGTGAGAAACCAAAACCGTCCAACTTATCAAGGTAAGGGGGCTATTCTTAGGCTTTTGCCGTCTTCCTGCTCAGAACCTCACCCACTTCCGTATCAATTACATCCTTCTCCTTTTCCTAGTCCTCTTCTTCAGCCTAATCTACCACCCCTCCTCCCTAATCATCTTCTTTGTCATCTTCATCGCTTGGGTCTTCCTCTACTTGGCTCGCGAGGAGGCACTCCTGCTCTGCAGCTACATCATCACTGACCGTGTGGTTGTAGCAGCGCTTTTCGCAGTGACGGTGTTTCGGCTCGTGTTGACCGGCGTGTGGGTCAACGTTTTGGTTGCATCTGTGATTAGGGTTGGTTTGGTGGTTTTGCACACGGCGTTGAGGAGCATCGATGACCTGGTGATGGATGATTTGGAGTCGCCGTACGAGCACGTCCTCGACGACGACCTTGATAGTCCCAGAGGGGATTACAGTGGTATTTGATTTTTAATTTTTCTTAAATTGAGGTTTAGGTCTAAAAATAAAATATCACAAGCTCCAATTCTTGATTTTCTCCACAGATTCCAGACTTCTTAAATTACGGTGTTTGATTGAATGAGAATTTTCAGTAGGTTTGAGAAGATGGGAATGGGATTTAGCAGGAAGGAAATTTGGAGGGAAAGGGCCGAGAACGCATAATCTGGCCCTTTTGTTAGAACGACATCGTTTTATGACTGTCCTGGCATTTTTTTTACCAGGGAGGGCTGAATTTCCGTTTCCTCCATTCTTTTAATGACACATCTTTGTTAACTTTAATCATTATAATGACATTATTTCCGAATTTAAAACCAATGGTAAATGCCTGAGCTTAGTGCAAAAAAAAAACTTACCTATAAAACAAAAACTGAAAAAAAGTACTAAATTGAATACAAGGGAATGGAACCTAACTTCTTAAAAGTTAAAATGCAGCAAACATATAATTAGATAGACAACTAGGAATTGCGCAAGGTTATGACCACGAACATTAATATTATGAAATTATGATCATTAAAATTGTAAAATAATTTTTAAAAATATTGATTTTGAACTAATAAAAATAATTAATAATTAATAATTAATAATTATTAATTATTAATTAATAAATTAAGTTTAATCAATAAATTAAAAATTTTAAATATTATTTTAAAAAATAAAAACTTTAATAAGTTTAACAACGATAATAGAGATAATAAACACACCTCATAGGGAACCCATATGTATTTCTAATCGTAGCCTTCCTCTATACGTATGCTCTTCCTCATCCACATATGGCCACGGCGGTGGTGGTTGCGGCGGCGGTGGTGGCGGCGGCGGCGGTTTTGGTGCCGGCGGTGGGATGAGAGGATGCTCCAACTCTTCTTTCAACATTTTGTATTTCCTTCCAAGACCCAAATGATTCAGCGACAGCCAAACGAAAGTGAGAAGTTCTCCACCCTGACTTGGTTGCTGTGCATGGACATATGAGCTGCAAGTAACAGCAGCATAGAACATTAAATGTACCCAAACTGTGCTCATTAACTTCCACGAATAATCATAACCCCCCTCCTGCTTCTCCTTCTTGAGCCAGCAGGCAAGATCAACTGCAACAGATAATGGGCAATTTCCCACTTTTCCTTTCTTGAACCGGCACAAGATCTTTTTGCGGGCAGTCTTCTCATCCGCGAAAAAACTCCAGGGTACTAATCGCCGAGTCTGCTCACAAATTTCTTCAAATTCCTTCTTCCAATCATCCAATACAGTGGCCATCATGCTGGGCTGCACGCCTACTGCAAGGTAAAACATGTAATCTGAAAGTAGCTTGCATATTGATCTGTCATCAGTTCCCTCAGACTCATGCCTGCATTGGTCATTGTCGTCTTGGAAGCATAATTCAGTGCCTATATGCCACACTAGGAGGGTTCGTGAGAAACTTTCAAATTTGTAAATGAACTGGTCCATCAATTTCTCGGCTGATTTCCCTTCGGAAGCCCGCTCAAGAAGAGCTTTAAATTCATTTTTTGACAACCAAGTTCCTTGCTCTTTCCTATACTTCGTCTCTTTACATTTTTCCAACAATTCAATCCAAATGAATCGCCAGAGTGGGTCCTGGAAATTTTGGTCATACGAACATCGGAAATGAATGTTTATGTATTCCAACAAGCTCCACATGCAGTGTTCATCTAGCTTTTTCAACCAACCTGGACAATCTTTCACATGATACGTTAAAAAATTTAACTGGGAAACTTTTTTACACCACCTGCGCCTATTGATAAATGCATTAGGCAAGTCGTACTGATCTTGGAGGCGAGTAGCGGCAAACCAATCGGAGCATTTGATGAATAATATGATAGACAAGAAATCCAACGCCAAGGTGCCAATCAGCAACCCATAGGTTAGCAAAACGTCAACCAACCCCAACTGGTAGTGCTTCTTAACTAATGAGAATGAAAGCAAGGCTACCAAGATGCAACTGACACTGCCAATACGGAAAATGAATCCAATAGCTGAAGTAATCACAGGCAACTTGGTGTGAAGAAGCTCATACAAGAGGCTTAGCTCAATCTCAATTATTTGAAGCGCAACAGCGGCATCACAACGACTTCGGCCACGATTAAAAATACTTGTGATTTCCTTTTGTTCTTTTTCCTTTGGAGCAGGGCCAATGATTACACTCTTTAAACTGCCAAGGAGTAGAACTGCAGTTTGTAATATCCCTCCGTTGTTCTTCACGCCTTTGAATTGTACTGGAATGGGAATTCCATCTGTAGCATTAGTTGCCTCCCATTTTTCTCCGAAGTGGTCTAAACTTGCATAACGAAGAGCAACATTTCGCTCAACGTATTTTACCACGCCAGCAAATAACACGAGAGTTGCCAACCAAAGCTCGTGCCTTGAGAGGGACGTTAAAATGGCATAGACGGTAAAACCCAGCTGTAGCACCAGCTTAAGCAAGTATCTTTGCCATAACTTATTATCCTCTAGAGAATAAGAGGTAATGCTGTCCGGACCGCCGAGGTGCAACAAGAGAAAGGGTGCCCAGAAAGCCAAGATGTCACTCGGAGGGCCGTCCATTGTGGAACTTTTGTGCTGGACGATGAATCCGATGGTAGATACAGCAACCCAATCCGCAAACAAGTACAGAACCCAAATAAACAATTTTCTCCACCAACTGCGAATTCTCTGTCTAAACGTTGCAAGCAGAAGTAAGAGGGCCTGCACAGAGAAGCTTATAATGATGAAAACTCTAATACTCCATGTGTCCCATAGCTTCTGAACATTTTCAGGAATAGAGAGTACTGGCGCCATCGTTTTCTTTGCCTGGTTATTTTCTTTGCCACCCTTGTTCTGATGAAGTTTAATTTTTTTTTTTATTTTGGCCTGATTCTGGAGTAAGTTTCAGCCTGAAGAAAAAGAAGACAGAATCCAGATGCTAAGGTAAATATTGGCTTTTTAAAATTATGATTTTTTTTTTTAAAATTATGATTATTCCCTCACAGAGCAGAAAAAAGACATTTCAAAGCGGAATCATCCTTGGAAAAAAAAAATCATATCCCTACTATATACTCTGCATCAAAGAAATGCAAATAGAAAGACGGTTAATTTGACAACTTCGTAATTTTGTTTTATCAACAAAAAAACAGTTTTCTTTTTTAATTAGATTATAAAATCCCATAAAAAATTATGTAGGCACTAAAATTTCAAGTCCCTGGCTTCCGTATCAGAATAATTAAATTTTTATGTTTAATAATGGACACTAACTTGAACGAAGTACAATTTCTAACAGGCAGAGATTTAAAAACCAGAGCAAAGGACTGGGAAATTGCACCTCTACCAAGTGGACTATAAGGCCAAGTACCTACTCAATTAAGTAAGCAATTGTTAGCTAATAGCTAGTAATATATTTTGACAGTTGTATATATAATAATTAGATATTGGGTTTGACAGTCTCTCTTGAAAAAAGAAAATATTAGTTCAAATTAGACAAAAATAAATAAATGTTTATGTATTTTAAATTTATTAATAGTATATTTGAATTAAGGGGAATGGAATAGAGGGGAGGAGAAAATTTTTTGACCAATTAAATTTTGCAATGTGAGAAAATCTTTCCTTTCCCTCCCCTCTATTTTTCTCAAACTAAACATATTATAAGAATATTTTTGCCTTACTTGGAATTTTTTTTTAAATTTTTATGTATTTTTTTAAATTTTTATGTAGGACAAAGTGTAAAATGCTTTAATGTAATACTCCCTATGTACTCTCAGAATAATATAGATTGGTGGTAATTTTTATTTCTACCTGTTTTATTTAAAAAAATTAAATTTTTTTGGATAATTTGAGGGATAATTAAAGTTAAAAAATAATTATAAAATTAAAGTAAGAAAAAATATTTATCCCATTTAAAATATGAAAAAATGACTATTATTCTAGAATAAATTATAAATAAAAAATACGCCTAATGATTATTTTGAGATAGAAAAAGTACTGCTTTCTTCCTTTCTTTTTAATTGTGGCTTTTTGGCATGCAATTTTAGAATCTGTTTGGTTTGAAGGGAGGGAAGAATATCAGAAAATTATTTTATTTGATTATAAAAAAAAAATTGAAGAGAAAGAAAGATTGTGATTGCTGGCTAACAAAGCTACTATTAGTGTTGGGTGTGCCATGGTGGTATAACTGACGCCCAAGTGGTAGGATAACTAGGTTTTCATACTTATCTTTTAGTTATCTTTTCTAGGAGTACGTAGTTTTTGGGCTATTTTATACTTGAAGAGATTTATATGTTGTAGCCAATGAAAATTATAAATTACTAGAG